GTAGTGAATATAAAACCTTCCATAATTGATTTTTTTAACTGACTTGGTTTCATTAGGTACCAATGTGTTATCCAAAAATTTTGGTATTAAATGTATACTGCAATTACACATTTCATAAGTTATTATTTGATATTTATGAGGAAAAAAATATTGTAAAGTTTAATAAATTGACAAACAGATCACCTTCACCATCTAAATAAGGTATTCACACAGTACTTAATAACTAATGTCACACATAAATATAAGAATTTGTGATTCTTTCATTTTGTCATGTGTTAGTGTAAATTATGATATTTTTTTGAGTTGAAATTGACATTGGTTGAGCATTCTAGTGAATCTGAAATCTTGAAAAATTATAGGTTTTTCTTCTATAATCTTCAATAAGCATTCTAGTGAATCTAAAATCTTCCATAATTGATTTTTGGAATTGAGTTGACTTCATTAGGTATCAATGTGTTATCCAAAAATTTTGGTATTAAATGTATGCAGCAATTACACATTTTATAGATTATTATTTGATATTTATGAGAAAAAAAATATTAAAAAGTTTAATAAATTGGCAAACAGATCACCTTCACCATCTAAGTAAGGTATTCACACAGTGCTGACTATATAATGTCACACATAAATATAAGAATTTGTGATTCTTTCATTTTAGTCATGTGTTAGTGTAAATTATGATATTTTTTAATTGAAATTGACGTTGGTTGAGCATTCTAGTGAATCTGAAATCTTGAATAATTGTATGGTGTTCTTCTATAATCTTCAATAAGCGTTCTAGTGAATCTAAAATCTTCAATAATTGATTTTTTGAACTGAGTTGGCTTCATTAGTTACCAAGGTGTTATCCAAAAATTTTGGTATTAAATTTATGCTGCAATTACACATTTTACAAGTTATTATTTGATATTTATGAGAAAAAAATAATGCAAAGTTTAACAAATTGGCAAACAGATTACCTTCACCATCTAAATAAGGTATTCACACAGTGCTGACTAACTAATGTCACACATAAAAATAAAAATTTGTGATTCTTTCATTTTGTCATGTGTTAGTGTAAATTATGATATTTTTTAGTTGAAATTGGCACTGGTTGAACATTCTAGTGAATCTAAAATCTTAGATAATTGTAGAGTTTTCGTCTATAATCTTTAATAATCATTCTAATGAATCTAAAATCATCCATAATTGATTTTTTGAACTGAGTTGGCTTCATTAGGTACCAACGTGTTATCCAAAAATTTTGGTATTAAATGTATGTTGCAATTACACATTTTACAGGTTATTATTTGATATTTATGAGAGAGAAAAAAATATATATTGCAAAGTTTAAAAAATTGGTAAACAAATTACCTTCACCATCTAAATAAGGTATTCACACAGTGCTGACTAACTAATGTCACACATAAATATAAGAATTTGTGATTCTTTCATTTTGTCATGTGTTAGTATAAATTATGATATTTTTTATTTGAAATTGGCATTGGTTTAGCATTCTAGTGAATCTGAAATCTTGAATAATTGTAGAGTTTTCTTCTATAATCTTCAATAAGCATTCTAGTGAATCTAAAATCTTCCATAATTGATTTTTTGAACAGAGTTGGCTTCATTAGGTACCAATGTGTTATCCAAAAATTTTGGTATTAAATGTATGCTGCAATTACACATTTTACAGGTTATTATTTGATATTTATGAGAAAAAAATAATGCAAAGTTTAACAAATTGGCAAACATATTACCTTCACCATCTAAATAAGGTATTCACACAGTGCTGACTAACTAATGTCACTCATAAATATAAGAATTTGTGATTCTTTCATTTTGTCATGTGTTAGTGTAAATTATGATATTTTTTAGTTGAAATTGGCATTGGTTAAGCATTCTAGTGAATCTAAAATCTTGGATAATTATAGGGTTTTCTTCTATAATCTTTAATAAGCATTCTAGTGAATCTAAAATCATCCATAATTTATTTTTTGAACTGATTTGGCTTCATTAGGTACCAACGTGTTATCCAAAAATTTTGGTATTAAATATATGTTGCAATTACACATTTTACAGGTTATTATTTGATATTTATGAGAGAAAAATATATATATATTGCAAAGTTTAACAAATTGGCAGACAAATTACCTTCACTATCTAAAAAAGGTATTCACACAGTGCTAACTAACTAATGTCACACATAAATATAAGAATTTGTGATTCTTTCATTTTGTCATGTTTTAGTGTAAATTATGATATTTTTTTTTTTAAATTGACATTGGTTGAGCATTCTAGTGAATCTGAAATCTTGGATAATTGTAGAGTTTTCTTCTATAATCTTCAATAAGCATGCTAGTGAATCTAAAATCTTCAATAATTGATTTTTTGAACTGAGTTGGCTTCATCAGGTACCAATGTGTTATCCAAAAATTTTGGTATTAAATATATGCTGCAATTACACATTTTACAGGTTATTATTTGATATTTATGAGAAAAAAAATATTAAAAAGTTTAATAAATTAGTAAACAGATCACCTTCACCATCTAAAGAAGGTATTCACACAGTGTTCACTATCTAATGTCACACATAAATGTAAGAATTTGTGATTCTTTCATTTTAGTCATGTGTTAGTGTAAATTATGATATTTTTTTAGTTGAAATTGACGTTGGTTGAGCATTCTAGTAAATCTGAAATCTTGGATAATTATAGGATTTTCTTCTATAATCTTCATTAAGCATTCTAGTGAATCTAGAATCTTCCATAATTGATTTTTTGAACTGAGTTAGCTTCATTAGGTAATAGTGTGTTATTCAAAAATTTTGGTATTAAATGTATGCTGTAATTACACATTTTATAGGTTATTATTTCATATTTATGAGAAAAAAAAAATTATACAAAGTTTAATAAATTGGCAAACAGATCACCTTCACCATCTAAATAAGGTATTCACACAGTGCTGAATATCTAATGTCACACATAAATATAAGAATTTGTGATTCTTTCATTTTAGTCATGTGTTAGTGTAAATTATGATAGTTTTTAGTTGAAATTGACATTGATTGAGCATTCTAGTGAATCTGAAATCTTAGATAATTGTAGGATTTTCTTCTATAATCTTCAATAAGTGTTCTAGTGAACCTAAAATCTTCCATAATTGATTTTTTGAACTGAATTGGCTTCATTAGGTACCAATATGTTATCCAAAAATATTGATATTAAATGTATGCTGTAATTATACATTTTACAGGTTATTATTTGATATTTATAAGAAAAAAATATTGCAAAGTTTAATAAATTGGCAAACAGATTACCTTCACCATCTAAATAAGGTATTCACACAGTGCTAAGTAACTAATGTCACACATAAATATAAGAATTTGTGATTCTTTCATTTTGTCATGTGTTAGTATAAATTATGATATTTTTTTGTTGAAATTGACATTGATTGAGCATTCTAGTGAATCTAAAATCTTGGATAATTGTAAGGTTTTATTCTATAATCTTTAATAAGCATTCTAGTGAATTAAAATCTCCCATAATTGATTTTTTGAACTGAGTTAGCTTCATTAGGTACCAACGTGTTATCCAAAAAATTTGGTATTAAATGTATGCAGCAATTACACATTTTACAGGTTATTATTTGATATTTATGAAGTAAAAAATATATATATTGCAAAGTTTAACAAATTGACAAACAAATTACCTTCACCATCTAAACAAGGTATTCACACAGTGCTGACTAACTAATGTCACACATAAATATAAGAATTTGTGATTCTTTCATTTTGTCATATGTTAGTGTAAATTATGATATTTTTTAATTGAAACTGACATTGGTTGAGCATTTTAGTGAATCTGAAATCTTGGATAATTGTAGAGTTTTCTTCTATAATCTTCAATAAGCATTCTAGTGAATCTAAAATCTTTCATAATTGATTTTTTGTATTGAGTTGGCTTCATTAGGTACCAATGTGTTATCCAAAAATTTTGGTATTAAATGCATGCTACAATTACATATTTTACAGGTTATTATTTGATATTTATGAGAAGAAAAAAAAATATTGCAAAGTGTAACAAATTGGTAAACAGATTACGTTCACCATCTAAATAAGGTATTCACACAGTGTTGACTAACTAATGTCACACATAAATATAAGAATTTGTGATTCTTTCATTTTGTCATGTGTTAGTGTAAATTATGATATTTTTTAGTTGAAATTGACATTGGTTGAGCATTCTAGTGAATCTGAAATCTTAAATAATTGTAGAGTTTTCTTCTATAATCTTGAATAAGCATTCTAGTGAATCTAAAATCTTCAATAATTGATTTTTTTGAACTGAGTTGGCTTCATTAAGGACCAACGTGTTATTCAAATTTTTTGGTATTAAATGTATGCTACAATTACATATTTTACAAGTTATTATTTGATATTAATGAGAAAAAAATATTGCAAAGTTTAACAAATTGGCAAACAGATTATCTTTACCACCTAAATAAAGTATTCACACAGTGCTGACTAACTAATGTCACACATAAATATAAGAATTTGTGATTCTTTCATTTTGTCATGTGTTAGTGTAAATTGTGATATTTTTTAATTGAAATTGACATTGGTTGAGCATTTTAGTAAATCTGAAATCTTAGATAATTATAAAATTTTCTTGTATAATGTTCAATAAGCATTCTAATGAATCTAAAATCTTCCATAATTGATTTTTTGAACTGATTTGGCTTCATTAGATATCAATGTGTTACCCAAAAATTTTAGTATTAAATGTATGCTGCAATTACACATTTCACTGGTTATTATTTGATATTTATGAGCAAAAAAAATATTGCAAAGTTTAACAAATTGGCGAACAAATCACCTTCACCATCTAAATAAGGTATTCACACAATGCTGGCTAACTAATTGCAACATCCCAAACCTGTTCCAAACATACATTACAAGATCTATCCTCCAATAGTTACCTACGATATGAAATCAAAAAAAAAAAAACGACGACAAATGGTTCAAGATAAACATAATTCATCCCTTTAATACTTTCATCCCAACCTAGAGTCATTAGATTACATGCCTTTAAGACGAGTACTACTGCTATTACATGATCAAAATATAAAAAAACTTCACATAAATACAACATATACAGTGATACAAAAGAAAAGCCATAAGTGATAGTTCAAATCCATCTAAGCTTGCGGAGGGATGTCTTCAACGACCTTCTTTCCATGATCTGAAAAAAATAAAATAATGGAGTGAACATGACGGCTCAGTAGAAGTTGCCTAAAACGCACTCCTTAATGTTTTTGTGAATCCACACAAAGAATAGCTATAAGAAAAGGGATCATGTTTGTCTTGGAAAAATAATTAAATTAATTAAATACAGTGCAATGCAATGCAATGAAATGTAATGTCACTCCCCGTTTTACAAAATTCCCATCCAACGCCTCAATTGTCAAACCGTTAATGTAACCCGACCCGAGGTAACTCCCCGGCACCACGAGAGGAGGATTGGCTAACTATTCTGACCTAAGGTAACTCCTTAGCGTCATTTGGGACCTAGTAACTCAACCACGCGCAAAGTAACTTCTTAAATCCCCTCTAGGTCCCATTAACGACACGGACACAAGGTAACTCCTTGTCGCCCGGTTTTCACAAACTTTAGTTCAAAACATTTTCCAAAATCTGGTAGTATTCTTTCAAAAATTCCTCCTTTGCAATAATCCCTTTTACCCTTCAATATCCAATGAAATGCATGATTATACATGCTATTCAATGTAATCACGCTATAAACTTTAAATATCAAATTTCAGTGGTATAATCATGCTTGAGTAACACATCAACAAGGCAGTTCTGTCAGCACAACAACATGTCCAATCGTGTAGAAAAATAGTACCACTTCTAAGGTAATTTAGACATACATATATAACATGTACTAATTCTAACAGTCAAGCTACAACAATCAACACATTGGACATGTAATGATCAACCAAACACATAGTACATAATCTGCATTAGGAAAGCTCCAGGCCAGTTTTCAAGTACGTAACATATACATGTAAAGAAGCTAAAAAAAAAAAATTCAGTTTTTGAAACACATTATATACAGTAAAGGCTAGAGCACTGGGAACACAATTTCATTCCTAAACACCAATTTAAGCAACAATTTCAAAGGATTGATTCCATAAAAGCAAAGGTTATGAGAGTTAGGACAACCCCTACCTCTACAAGAGTTGAAACCCAGCTAAAGGCCACTGATTGATTGTCTAAAACCACCAACAATTGAGAAAAGATGAAGAACAAAATACTCCTTTGTAGTACAGCAATGGCTTGAAAATTATTTGGATCGTCCTTACAGTCATGGTTGTTCTTTTACTTGTTCTTCTATATATATATATAGAGTTGTTTACTCTGAGGTTGGTTAGTACAGCAATGGCTTGAAAATTATTTGGATCGTCCTTACAATCATGGTTGTTTTTTTACTTGTTCTTCTATATATATATATAGAGGTGTTTACTCTGAGGTTGGTTCTTCACCAACCAACCTTAGAGTAACATACTTCAAGACAGTACCAAACATGGTGCTTGTACCCTTGATCTGTAAACCCTACCCACCCTTTCTGTTCTGCAATTCATATCTCTACATTTAGTATTTTACAGTCCCGTTGGGAAGATATATAGAAAAAGAGAGATTCTAAAATAAACAACATTGAATATCCTAAAATAAAATCAAATTGCATCATAAAAGAGGCATTATAGGTTTAAATACTAAGATTAACTTGTGGCATATCTCACATTTATGTTCTTTGGACAAAACTGCATTCAATGCCCCGGTAATAGACATAATAATGACCTGACAAGCAAAAAAAAAATTTCAAAACTGAGATGATTATCATTTTCTTGGATTGAAATTAAAACTAACATTATTATCCTGTTCTTGGATATAATTTAGTAGCTATATTCCAAACGTCATAACTAACTAAAAATTTTTAAATTATATAGAGGCGATAACTAAGACAAAGTCAAATCAATACTCTCGAATGATGAAATATATGGGACTGGACTGGACAAACACACTTCACATTTCACGGACACAAAACTAATCTAATACACAGAAGATAGAACAAACTAATAATTGCACAACGATAGAATTTTTTTATATTTTATTTCAATAATTAAACACAACATTTAGAGATAAAAAGAGAACCAAAGTAAAATTGATAGGAAGACTAAGAAAAATGAAACGCTTAGGATTCTGCAATATATTTTGAATAACATCAGTTATTGTACAAAGAAAATTAAATAAATAAAATTGGTCACTTAAATCAAAGTTCCCAGATATCTCTCATAGCCCAGAAGTTTCGTGTTGTCATAGGGGTTCCATTAGTTCAACTGAATTATTTTTCAAAAAATTTCACCCAAAACTCTAATCTCCAAGTTTTGTTGGCCTGTGTTGGGTGTATGTTCTTACCTGTGTATGTATAAAGTAAGTAGAGACTTCCACCCACAAGGAGGTCAAATGAAGGATCAAGAAACTCTAATTATAACAAGGGTATATTTTTACAATAAATAGCTGCACTTCAGTAACATTGATCAAACATAACTCACAAGATAGTAATAATTAAACACAAAAAGCAATTAACATTAGACACGAAAAAAAATGCTAAAAATTCATATAAGTTTGATAAGTTACGAGCATAACATGCTTGTCTATTGCTATTTCAAATAACTATCTTTACCAAAAATTTCAACTAACACCAAAAAAGTAGCAGAAAAGCCCCACACCTGATATGCTTTGAGTGAATGATCAGCTGCCTCTTTCCTCTCCTCACCTCCCCAGACTTAAATTTAGCCAATACCAATAATAATAATCCTCCCCTTCCTGCATGCAGCTAACCCCAAATCAAAACCCTAAACTACATGCAACATTCTTTTTTTTTTTTGAAACACATTTAAGCAAAATACTCACATCTTGTAGAAGAACACCGTCGATTCATCAGTAGGCTGGATAACTCCAATTCAACCTTTTATCAATTCATTACCTCCCGCATCCTCCTTTTGCTCTATCGAAGAAAAAATAAGCCTCGGAGCCCTCCGAGCTCCAATCATATTCTTGTACCGAGCAAATTCCTCTCCTCAATAGTCAATTCGACATCTACCTTTGCCTCTTTCTTCACGGAATCGTGTGCAAGAGTGCAATAGTAAAAGATGAAAACCCTATATTAAATCTTGCTTATCCTATTCCTCCTGTGTACAAAACCCAAATCGCGTGTGAGAAAAATGGTGTTAGAATATGAAAACCCTAAATCAAATATTTGGTTCTCTTCAAAACCCAAATCGCATGTGTGAGAAAAGTTAAAGTCTATGTCTGATAATTTTGAATTATAGATGATTTCAGAATGAGGGAGATTTTTTTAGATTCTACGTTTTGAATTTCAATGTGTATATATTTCAACTTGGGTATTTGTATTATACAGTTGAGTTTAACTATAGTTAAGTAATGAACTTTCCTGCCTAAAACGACGCAGCTTAAGGGCCTTTTAAAGAAATAACTACGTGTAAAAATATTGGCCAAGTAAATTATACACAGCAGGGGACCGCATGGGAGATAACTTCAGGGGATTCACGCCCAGTGTTCGGGGCCTCGCCGCTGCTTTGCATGAATGAAATTGGGTTAGGTCGTATCTAGTGAAATGAGGAAGCGAGGAATTAGGGTTATGCTGATGAAAATGGACTATGGGCCTAGTAAGTAGGTTTAGACTTGGGGATGTTTTTTTTAAAAGCATGACATTGTATAAACATAATTGGGTTGGACTGGTTTGGAAGTTTGGGCTGGATTTAGTTATCAACTGAAATAAAATAAATGGCATGTGGTGTGTGGATGTCCAATTGTATGGATTAAAAAATATGTAAGACCTCGATACATAATTATTTTTATTATTATAATTAAATTTATTTTTAAATATGATTTATTTATGAATATTGTACACAGCACCTAGATTTATTTGCACGTATTTGTAATATTATTTATGTGTGAGCAAAACTAGTAGTAGCCAAGTGATTTGAATAATAAATAAATAAATAAAAAGTAATGATTGATACGTGATGGGCATGGGTGATGATATGTGTGGGTGTGTGACGTGTTTGTGGATTGAATGTAAACTGAAGTATTTATTCATGAGGTGCTGAAGCTTTATAATTGATAGGACATATATCTATATATTATATACATGTATTGTTGGTTATTAAGAGCATTTGCAGGTGTAAAATTTCCCTCTATAAAAGAATTAAAAAGAAATAATACAACTCACTCAAAATAAAATAATGATTAACAAAAACAATTCAGAAAAAAAAACTTATATTGCTTGATGATCTTTATTAGAGGTCTAAGCCTCTATTTATATACAAAAAGGTGGTAGAATTATGATAGGACTCGCCTTGTTTGTCCTTTAATACATTCTATATACAATGTTCTTTCCTATAATGTTGTTTCCTTCTATACTTCTTTCCATGCCAGATTCTCTTGCTGTAGAACTTCCTTATATGAAGGATCCTTTATTTGGTAGGACTAGTTCTGTCTTTAAATAAATATGGGCCGAATGTAACTTAGTCCAACTGACTTTATTAACGGGCTGGAAGTTCAATATTAGCGATCTTGAGCTGTTGGTGATTTTGTTCGGGCTCGAACAGGGTTGGGCTTTTGTAACCCACCAAGAGATTTAAAAATAAAACTTATATTGTGGCTATGTGGCTAGCTTTTATTGAAGGGGGATTTTTCGTTCCACACTTTGCCCCCAATTCCCTTTTTAATTGGACTACAGCTCCTAATTAAAAGGGAATTGAAGTTGTATAGTTTTCAATTTTGTAAGAAGCGGTTTCGAGGAGCGACCATTGACATTTTGACCAAAGGGCTTCTTCACAACTTGTTTTTGGCTTCACTGCGTTCATTGTGCTCATTGCTTCAGCGCAATTCCAGGTTAGTTTTTCAACTACTTCTTTGATATCGTATACGAAGCACTTCACCCACTTTCGACCATATAAAGATTGTAGATTCCGAGTCCACTCCCTCGTCTTCCCCTATTCTCATTAGGGTTCCTCCTCCTAGGGTTTCTGACCCTTTTGAATCTGCGAATGATTTCGTTAATCAAATGGATATTTCTCGACCTCAAGCTGAAGTATCCACTTTTGGGTCAGATAGTGTTTTCACTAAAGAAGAGAGAAAGATGATTTGGTTTATCCAACGTCTCAAATTCACCATTGAGTCTGTAGTGGAGGAATTTGAAATCCCTGAGGGGGTAGAAATTGTTGAATACCCCAAAGAGGTTGATTGCAGTTCCAGTGAGGGCGTCGGAGAGAATGAATTGCTCTTATCGGTTGGGCACCTTAACGTTTTTTGATTTCCTCTTCATCCCTTCTATCATTTGGTCTTCAATAAGTTAGGTCTTACCCCTCTTCAAGTAAACCCTAACTTTCTTCGAATAGTCTCGTCACTTCTGGTCCGCTGAAGGCTAGAGAGTCTTGACTTGACTCTCGCTGACCTGCTGATTACTTACACCATCTCTAGGTATAGGACTGAGCCTGGCCATTTTTACTTTACTTCATCTCTTCAACAGAGGATATGTACGGATCTTCCTAATTCCGAGAAGAAATGGAAAGAAAGGATGATAATTGTTAAAGAGAACTGGGCTATGTCTCAATTGAGCAAACTCCCAGTCCCACGCAAATTTGGGAAGTTAGGTATAGAATGTTTTCCCTCCCTTCATGACAAGTGCTCTGGTTGCTTCCCATGCCGAGTATTACTCTTTCGTCATACTTATAAATTTCTTGGTGTTTTTTCAGCGACCTTCCCTTCCTCAACAACTAAGAATAGGCTCTCATTTCTCGAAGAACAGGTTTGGAGTGATCCCTCATCCGTTGAGGAGCTACTCTCTTCGTCCAATTTAAAAGAAATCGCTTCCAGCACTGCAGCAGCCAACCTCATGGATTTGGCCCTTCCTTCTTTTGACAATTTCTCTCTTACTGATGAGGAGAAGAAAAGAGCTAAAGCTCTTAAGAAGAAATCAGTGGAAGATCAACTCTTTGTTGTCATCCGCTTTACTGAGCATAAAAATGAGATTGATGAACCTCCTCTTAAAAAGACGAGGCAGAACCCTCCCTCTACCAGCAAGGGTAAAAGTATCTCCAAAAGTAAAGAGAAGAAGGCTAATGAATCTGACCCTGAGGCTGAGGTCAGGGATTACATCCTAGCTGAAGCTGGAGAACCTTGGAGGCCCATCTTTTCTAGAGCTGACAAGTCAATTCTTCACTCTAAAGATTCTATAGTCACTGACCCCTCCTGCTACTTTAGCTATAGCTAGGGGAGTGTGGCTACCCAAGGATGAGGAGATTATTGGTAATATGGGGCTGGACCAACTACTTCCCTCTACCCCTGTTCGTGCTGTGGAGGTTTGCACTTTGCTGCTACTTTGATGTTTACTTAAATCTTTTTTCATATTACTTAATACATTATTGATTGTGCAGAACATGTACCATACTATAGCGTTGTGTGCTACTGCTGAGGCTCAGTCTCTTTCTATCAAGAAATTAGAAAGAGACCTTGGCAATGCTGAAAAAAAGGCTTCGAATGCAGCTCTGAATGTAAAGATTGCCTCAGAGGCGAGGGATATTTACAAGAATCGCTTGACAGCATCTGAAGCTAAGGTGGAGACATTGGAGGCTGAGGTCCAGCGCTTAAAGGATGCAATTAACACCTACATGACTGTTAGGAAACAGATGCAAGGACACTACCCCACCTTGGTTTGCTTATCCAGCGTAAAAGGCTTCAGGTTCGACTTCAACCAGGGCTCAGGTGATAAAATAAAGGACCCGAAAGCCTTTGATGTTGACATGAAAGTTTCTTTCCCTTATGCTGAGGGTCCCCAGGCCCAAGAAGCTGAGGTGCTGTTTGCTGAGATGGTGAAGTCTCACCAAGAGGACCATTCAACTCCAAGTTCGTCAGCTCATCCATCTTCTGACCTATTAGCTCCTCCAATCTCAAGTCTGAATATGGTGGACGCTTTTGAATCCATTCCTTTTGATCCAAAAAGGAAATGAATTTGTGTAACATTCACTATGAAACAATTTATTTTTTGTTTTTTAGTTTTTTTTTTCTCTCTTGCTTGTGGACAGTAGCTATTATAATTTTTTATATGTTTGAAAATTTGCATATCCATGAATGTTTCTGAACTGCATATGCCTGCTGAGCAATTTGCATGTCCATGGGAAAGATTCACTTTCTTTAGGGAGTTTGGACTCTTTACGATCCGAAGCAAAAATAGGAAAATGGTAAGAAGGGAGTTCCTATGACAGTTTGGTCGCTACCTGAGGAGTTTTCCACCCTTCAGTGATCAAACCATCAAAGGAACCCTTCTTTCTCTTAAACTTCATGGAGTAGGTATATCAATACCGATTTTTATTATATTATTTCAATGTGGGACAAATGATTGATAGGTTTAACATTATTGGGCCCAACATTGAGGACTGAATGCGTGATATCGATCAAAAAGTTTGCCCCATTCGGGTTTAGACCTATTGGAGTATCTTCAGACACAGGTGGTCCGAGATGCTATCGTTTCTAGTAGTTGTGTAAGCCTTAGAAGTTTGGTTGTCATCTTCGGACTCTTAGGATCCGAAGCATGGTGTTCCTCGGTGATGTGAGACATTGAGTTGCATCGGACACTTAGGGTCCGTGGTATGTAATTCCTCGATCATGAGCTGAGGGGATTTGTATTATATCGGACACTTAAGGTCCGAAGCACGTAGTTCTTCAAAATCGTGGGTCCGAAGATTCAAAAGTGAGACAAGGCCGAGGAAAATAGGAACAGTGTCCTAGCCAAATTCCCAAACGTTTGCTCAGGGACCGTATATTCCACAGTCACTCCGTCCTTGGTGTTGTCTTTTAGTAATATCCACTTATATGAGCCATCTATACTTCCTGTATCCTTTCGATGTGGGACACTTTGCCTAAGAAACTTTAGGCAAATTGGAATAAGTTCGAGATGGATATCTTCATGATCTGAAGATTCTCCAAAAGATGGGCTCATGATAACGATTCCCCTGATATTTAGGTCTCTGATTGAGCGATTTTACTTTAAGACCCATTTATCAGGGGACACCTTTCGTGGCGATCAATAGTCATACGGTAACACCTACATGGTATTTCCTTTTCTTGTTTGTTTTCAATGTGGGACAACTTTTTATGGGCTTGAAACTATTGGGCTAGGTACCAGGGCCTATATAGAGTGCTTGCCCCTGTTTGGGTTTAGATGTGCTGGTCTATCTTTGGACTCTTACGGTCCGAGGCAAGCAGTTCCTCGGCTATGAACCAGAAAGGAATTGTACTGTGTCGGACTCTTGTGGTCCGAGGCGTTATATTCCTCGGTTGTGAGCCTGAGAGGAATTGTATTGTGCCGGACTCTTGTGGTCCGA